CTAAATCAATTGTAGGATGAGCCAAACTAGAAAATATTTTCTTGTACAAACAATTTAAAAAGTCGTGTAAAAAGATTCAAAAGCTGTAAAGGATGTCTAAATTCTATATCAATTAATAATGAACTGATCTAAAAAAACAAATTCTTTCTACAACTAATCTAAAAAAATCTATAAAATAATTAATGTAAATTGCCGATTCATTATTACAAATTGCTACGATGCCACATACTATAATTTTCAACCGTCGATATAATTAAATTTCATATGTTAAAATCATTTATTTTAACTTTTTTATTTATTTATTAAAGAGATATAATATATTTCTTCCACTTGAAAGGATACAACTCCACTTCATATTAAAGTAAAATTGAATTCCTAATATGTAGGGATATAAATAAGTAATACATCGATAAAATAAGAAAATAAATAATCTCATAAAACACATACATACTCTAGTAATTGAGAAGTTTTTTGGATGATAATCAAAAGTAAAATTGTTATAAAATATTTTATTAGACAAAATGCCATCAAATAATCTCGTCAATCTTAATTATTAAGTATAAATACTAAAATATTTGAAATAACGAAGTTTTGATTATTATAATTTTTTAAGTAATGACCTGATCTATTTAAACGCATCCATCTTGAATTTGATAACTCTGGCTGTAATTAATTAATGGAATGGTGAATTAATTAATAATTAATTAGGAGGTGGGAGATTGGTTGATTTTGGTGTATTTTTTATATTGATTGAAAGGAAGGGAATGAATGACAAGTTTTGGGTAGTCTTCCCCATTTTGGGTGTCAAGTGTGATGCGTCATATTATTTGTTTTTTTCATTTAGAAAGTTTGTTTGGGTCAATGAGGCGGTTGATGATAAAGAAAAGATACCAACTAAACCATCGAATGGGATTGTCTGAGCCATGTCGTAGAGTTTAAGGATATTCTATTCAAATACTCACATTTCATAACCAACATCCATTTCTTACTACTATTATAATTATAATTATTATTATTATTATTATTATAACTATAAACTTGAACGCAGACCATTCTACCACCTTAATTGGAATCATAACAAACAATTTGAGCACTGTAAGTTAATTTAAGACTGAGTGATGGATGACACACACACGTAAACATACATCTTCATTCATTTTTATTTATTTCATTAATAAAGGAGATACCTTATTTTGATATTTATATTTTTTTAACTATTTTATTCTTTAATTAATGTGTTAAAATACATTTTTATTTTTTAATTAATTTATATAATTATTTCACTATGTTAAAAATAATCACATATTTTCTTAATTTTATTATTTTTATTTTATTCTTTTCATTCTTTGATACAAAGTTAAGAATGTCTCACTTTCATTTGTATAATATAAATCGAATCAATTTAATAGTTGTATTTGATAATTTTATTAATTAGATCAAATATACTAAATTATATTAAATTATTAAATTATTTGGCAACTTATCTTATCACTTTGTTTCGACGTATAAAATGTTATTCAAAATATATGTAAATATTTATTGTTATATTACATATTTAGAAGAGTCCAAATCATATATATGAAATTTGATATGCATGATTATGCGTATAATATCATCAAATACAATGGTTACATGGACAGAGTTTGCATTTTATAAAAAATTATTGAAGGTGTCATTTTACTAATTTAACACTGTAGTGTTAATGGATTCTGACACACACACACACACACACACACACACACATATATATATATATATATATATATATAATATTTCATTAACATTTATAACAACTTATTAGTGGAGTTGAGACATAAATTTGGACATAACTCGTAAAAAATTTTTAAGGGCAAATAAGTCCAAAAAAAGTGGACACCAAATCAATGTGTCTCCTTTATTAATATTATAAATTATAAATTATCTCCTTTTTAATTATATATATTAATTGATTTTACAATAAGTTGACATATTATTTATATACCCTACACTCATATTATGAGAAGGGTCTATTTAATAGAGAATTTGCATTCGATCCTGAATGAAAAATCTTTTGAATTAATGACAATTACAACACTATGAGTTGGATTTGTAATTGGCGTCATAGACTGAGGTCATCTAGGACAAAACAAATTATTAATTTGATTCTTAGGTGTTTAATTTTGAAAAAGTATTGCTATAATTATTTCTTAGTAGATTATAATATGTACAAATACATAGTATAAAAAAAATAGGTTATGAAATGGCACAACTCACATGCTATGAAACACACCTAAATGTTGAAGACAAGCCTCAAAACATGACAACCTCACAACAAGTGAGTTATCTATTGATATAAATAAGCCTTTTACCTTTTACTAAAACAAGAGACCCTACAAGTGTAGTATCCATACCACCATATCACTTAAACGCTTCCTAATCTCCTTTTCATGTCCAACAAACACTTTTAACCAATCTCTCCCAAGCAAGCCGATGGATTCAAGTAGGGTTCAAGCCAGAAATTTAGCTTGAGGGGAGTTAAGAATTTCTTTTAACACTTATATGAAGATATTCTAAGATCATGAATAATTCATTAATATATATACTTTTTTTTATCTCTCATTTCATCATATTATATATTAACCATACATATATCTCTTTTTCTTTTCATAAATGAAAACTAACATGATAATTTTTTATCTATTAATTTATAATAGATATTTTAAAAAAAAAATTAGGGGGCCAAAAAAATATTTTATAATAATTTTATTACATTTTTAAAAAATGGGGTGGGGGGAGGCACTAGGTCTCCCTTCCCTCCACCATTGAATTTAAGGTCAAAGAATCATCCACTAGATTCAAGGTAGAAGAATCAAGTGAATGTCCCATTTCTTTCTAACCCTCAACTAACTCCAAACTTTAATCTTTTTTGAAATTACAATATCTAATAAATTTATTTGTTTACCTTTAAATAATGTACCATTCCTAACTTACCACATGACTTTTTCCCATCACTCTCACTACTATTCAACAACTCTATAAATTGTTGAAATTGACACCAAGCATTATTATAAAAAACTTAGTAATATTAGGTTAATTTACTTATACACAATATTAGCAAAATAAAAATTATAATATGATATATGATTTAGATTTAGCCTCATTAATCTTATTTATATATCAAAATATAACTATAACTTTTCCTTAATAGTTATATTTTTTAAAATTTAGATGAGAGAAAATAGGTAAAAATAGAGTATTATATGTATAACAAAAAAAATGTATAAATGTACAACAACTTATATAATATCATTTTTTATATTTATCACTTTCCATCACTTTATTTATTAAGAAAAATATTTATTATTAATAAAGAGACAGACACAAAAATATTGTATAAGTTGTTGTAATGTAACATTATTCTTAAAACAAATAAATTCAACATTTCATAATTAATTTATAAATAATATATGTTATATTTATGACTATTTAGGACATATTTATTATATATTTTTTTGTTTCTAAGTTTAGTAATTTCTTATTTATATTTTTTTAATTTGAAAACTAAAAAAAAACAACTTAAAATATTATTTAAATGCTCAAAAGCCAAATCAAATTTATAATTGAGAAAATGGTTTTATCTTCTTAAATTTTGATTTACTTCACATTTACAAAAATTTAATTAAAAAAATATTATTTTACTCTTTTCTATTAAAAATATTCATTTAATATTAAATAACATAATTATTAATTAGAGATTTAAACTATAAAAGTAATTATAGATTATAAATATAATAACCTTTTAATTAAAGATAATTTTAAAAGGAAAAATAAAATGAATTAAAATATCAAAACAACATATAATAAATACCCTCACTAATATTTATTCGATCTCAAATTTTATTATTTTTTATTTTTATAATGATTATAGAAATTTGCCTTGGATTTTTTTTGTCTATATTAGAAATAAAGTAATTTCTTTATTTAAGTTAGCATCTCACTCTAGTTATCAACTTGAAACACATAATTTTTAAATTTTCATATGGTATATTTATATTTAAATTTTGATCTTGAGTATGAAATAAATTATGTTAGAATTTTTTTATATTTGTGTGAACTCATAAACTTGACAAAGATTAATTACTATTTGTAATGATAAGTACTTTATACTAATATTATAATTATTAAAAAAATTCAAAAAAAATAACTTTCAGATTTTTTTTTGCTTTAGCCTTGTTTGCTTAACTAAAAATACAGAAAAATAAAAATTATAAAAAAGAAGTGAATTTTTTTTAAATTATTTATTTTAGAAGTAAAGTAAAGAACAGATAAATAAAAGGTGAATCCCATCTCAAAATATTTTTTTAACAGTAATAAAATATCTTCTTAATAATAAGAAAATAGATAATTAAGAGATAACAACTTGCAACTCACTTAAAATTACATTTAAACTTCATTATTCTTTTAATATATTCAATCTAAATAAATTAATGAAAAAAGTCTTAACATTTTTCTCTTATATTTTTTTTATTTCTTTTATATCAAACAACTTAAAAATTCAAACAATAAAAAGATATAAAAAATATTCAAAATCTACTAAATTATACTTTTTTCTCTCTCACATTCTTAAATAAAACAAAACAACCGCATGCTTTTTCATTTGAAAATTACTAATAACGACAACAAAAGTTACGGAGAAATATTAATATTAAAATCAAGTAGATAAAGACAAAATAAAAATTATACGCACAAAACTAACAACAGCGCCGTTTTCAACACTAACCATTCTGATTAGAACATTGCGTACATCTTGAATACTTTCCTCCTATTAATTTAGCTTTTAAAACTTTTTAAAAATGAATACAGTTCTGTTGTAAAAAATATAAATTATTAAAATTTAAAAATTCAGACAAAAACTGTAAGCAAAACCATTAACCATAACCCCTAAAATTAATTAATTAAAAAAATAAATTGTGACATAAAGGGAGCATTAAAATGGAGTGTGCACTGCGATGCAGGGTGTAAGAACCCTGGAACCTTATGCAACAGTGACACTCACACACACAAAACACACACGCCTTTCTCTGTTTGTTAACAGAGCTGAGCTTGTCCATGCTTTCTGGGTGTCTGTCTCTGTCGCGCGCTGTCTCACTTTCTCTCTCTAAAACCCTTTCTCTCTCTACCTGACTCAAATTCTCTGATTTTATCGTTTTCTCAGAGCAGATTCGCTCCTCCCATGTGACATGGGCCAGTGCTACGGCAAGAACAATCTCAGGCCCCAAAATGACGACGCCGCCGATGACTCTGCCGTCGCAGTCGCCGGATCCGCCGATGTCCCGCCCTCTCCGCTGCCGCCCAAGGACACGCCGGCGCGGGCCAACCCCTGGCCGAGTCCCTTTCCTCACGGCGGAGGCACGGTGACGCCGTCGCCGGCAAGGAGCACGCCGAGGAGGTTTTTCCGGCGGCCGTTCCCGCCGCCGTCGCCTGCGAAGCACATAAGGGCGTCGCTGGCGAAGCGGCTGGGGCACGCGAAGGCGCCCAAGGAGGGGCCGATCCCGGAGGAGGAGGCGGCGGCGGCCGCGACGGAGCAGTCGCTGGATAAGAGCTTTGGGTATGGGAAGAATTTTGGGGCAAAATTTGAAATTGGGAAAGAAGTGGGGCGAGGGCATTTCGGTCATACCTGCTGTGCTAAGGGGAAGAAGGGTGACCTCAAAGACCAACCTGTTGCAGTTAAGATCATTTCCAAGGCTAAGGTAGTACAATTCAATGACTTTTCAATTTTGGGGATAATTTTGTTTGTAGGTTTTATTTTGTCATTGTTGTGTGTGGCCTTGTGTGGTTGTTTTGGACTGTAATGACTCATGAATTATGATGGCATTTGGATTTGGACGATTCGAGTTTGATCTATGTTGCTTGATTTTGTATGTGGGACTAGGGTACCATTGGGAACAGATAATTTTCTGATGGATGGTTCTGAGATTTTGTATGTGGGACTAGGGTATCATTTAGGTTTTACTGAATGAGCTGTACAATTCAAAAGAAGTACATGACATTTGACTTGGTTTTAACTGTTAGCTTGTTTTAATCAGTTTAGAATATCAGGACATTTCTTGACTTGCTGTACTGAACAATAATTTTTTTTTAGTTCATTTCCTATTGTGGAAATATATGTAAAAGTTATATTTAGAAAATTGGTATTGTATTCCAAGAGCAGTAAAAAAACAGTCTGTTTGTTTGAATGTGGTAGAAGAAGATGTTTGGTCAGAATCACTATCATGTGAATGCATGCAGCCTTACCCTTGTTGCTGTTGAATGCTTGTTTGTTCATAGTTTGTTTAGGGTACTATAGTGTTGAAATGATTATCTATTTTGATATTGTTTGATGTTAACCATTTTGTGGATACCTTCCAAATTAAAAATTTCTTACATGTGTGTGACATGTTACAATACTTGGTTCTTCTCTTAGGTAACAACTCATTCATTTTATGGTTCTTAGTTTTAGAACCTATGTCTATGATTTCCAATGCTGTAAAGTGTTAAAAACATGTAGCTCTTTGTCTCGTGCATGGACAAGTAGTAATACATCATAGCGTTTCTCTTTGTCTCTATTTCAGGTAGGGTTAGTTACTTTGTTGGTAGTAAAATGTTACCGGTTTTTTCCCTATTTGTCTCTATTTCAGGTAGGGTTCGTTACTTTGTTGGTATTAAAATATATTGACGGTTTTTTTCCTTATTAATGGGGTTGTTTTTTAATACATAGAGCATATGCTTGGAACCGTTTCACCTATCCACATTAATGCAAAAGCTACAGAGTGCAAGGTGGATCCACAATTTTTCATGTATGGACGTTTGTCCAAACATAATGTGTTTGGAACTGTGTTGGATACATGTGTACCCAGAAAATTAATGTCAAAGAATGAAAAAAACGTATAAGCAACAAACTTAACACATGTCCACCAGATGAAACTTGAAACTAAACATGTTGATAACTACTAATTAATACACAATTTTTTTCACTTATGGATGTCGGTCCAAACATATTGTTAGTGTGTTTGAAACTGTGTTGGATACACATGTCTACTAGGCAATTAATGACATTGAATGAAAAAAAACCGTCGAAGCAAACTCAACATATGTCTAATTAATATACAAAGTTTTTTCACTTATGGATGTCAGTCCAAACACGTGGCTAGTGTGTTGGATACACATGTCTACTGGGAAAATTCATGTCAAAAAATGAAAAAAAAAAAACGTAGAAGTGACAAACTTAACACGTCACTAGACTAAACTTGAAATCAAACACATTGATAACCACTAATTAATGTATTATGTTTTTTCGCTTATGGATGTCGGTCCAAAAATGTTGATAGTGTGTTTGGAACTGCGTTGGATACACATGTCTACTAGGCAATTAATGCCATTGCAGATGGGAACGTTAAGCCAAACACGTTGATAATCACAAATTATTATTCGATGCTGTGGCTGTCTGCATGCCATATAGATAGGATTGTCTCTCTAGTTAATTTATGCTCATTATGTCGCTGTTATATCTTTCTCATCCATGATTGCATTTTTCCTTTTCTTTTATTATTCAAGTTTTCTACTTTCTTAGAACAATATACTCTTGTACATTAATTAATAAATATTCCTAGTAAATTCTGTAATAGTTCCCAAAAGATTAGTTCTGTAGGCTATAGTATACTAAAGGGCCTTGGCTGTTAAGTTAAAGCATATCAGCAATATTCCTGGCATCTGATTTTGCAATTATGCTATTCTCGGTATGTTTTAATCGGTGATAGGGAAGTTGCCTTGGCCTATCACTACGTTCTAGATAAGTTGGGGGTGACAATATCCCCCCAAACAAAAGTCTATATAATTCAATTATTGTATATATAGGAATGTGATTTTCTGAAGTTTAAGGTACCTTTGGTCACTTAAAAGTTATTAACTGTTGCTTTTAATTTGACATTACCTTTATAGAGTCCATAGTTTCCTTTGATGTAGAAATGACATAAATTTTGAAATTTATGATCTAAATTTACTGTTCAACAGATGCTTCTGTGTATAACCATTCTAAATAAGGAGTCTTTTTGGACTTGCTCTCATTCCTTATTCCAGCACAAAGACCAGTTTTAAGTGTTAAATCTGTTTTTTACTACTACTACATTGGCCAGAAAAATAAGGAGTCCACTTTTGTTTGGTCTAAAAAACCCAGAGTTTACATTTTACTGCAATTGAAACAAGAGCACAAAATCATCAATTGAAACTGATTACAAAGCCTACCTCTTAGACCCACTTCAACAATTAAGAAATGTTAAATTTAAAATAAATTTTTATACCTTAAGAGTTTTATTAGATTTTTTAAAAGAAAAAAAAGTCATATCACCATATAATTAAATTATTATTCTTTGCACCTGCATTTTTTATACTGTTTCTAGTCTTAATAAATTTTATTCATCAGATGACCACTGCAATAGCAATTGAAGATGTTCGCAGGGAGGTGAAGATATTAAAAGCTCTATCTGGTCATAAACATCTCGTCAAATTTCATGATGCTTTTGAGGATGCCAACAATGTGTACATAGTTATGGAGTATGTCTTTTATCGTTGTGTTCAATATATGATTTATGACAGAATGTTATGGTGTCCTTTGATCCATTTATCCAACTACACCTAGCGGGGAAAGCTTGGTTGTTCTGTTGTTAATTGTTGTTCATTATCATCTATAATTAGAATTGTGTGTTGGATTTCCAGAGAACTGAATCTTTATTGTTTTCTTTATACATTTTTTTATTGAGCAGTCACTTTGCACTACAAAAAGGCATTGTTGTTTATATACCCACCATTTTGCTATCAGCACCACAATTAATTTTCAGTTTCTCAGTTTTGTTTCTCATTTCTTTCATTCATGCCTTTTCCCTGTTAGAAGGTTTAAATGAGTTCAACTTCACTTACATGATAAATTGTTTTATTTTGAAGTTATTAGGCAGCAAAGATTCTGTTGGTGAATATTTGCTAGGTTGTAGTTAAATTGTTGAGGGCTTGCATCTTAGAATTGTATCGTCATCATAAAGTGACTTTTCCTGGATTTTGATTTCTTACCAGATTGTGTGAAGGTGGGGAGCTTCTTGACAGAATTTTGTCAAGGTTAGATTTCTAATTTCTTTCCTTTAAATGTTCAACTTGATATAATCTTCTTATTTAATTGCATATTGCTTACTTCTATATTAGGGGAGGAAAGTATTCGGAGGAGGATGCCAAGGTTATAGTTTTACAGATCCTAAGTGTGGTTGCTTTTTGTCATCTTCAAGGTGTTGTGCACCGGGATTTGAAACCTGAGGTTTGTGCTTTAAATCATCATCTATATAATTTGTAACGATAACATCTAGTTCTGTTTTTAATATTACAATGATTAATTATATAAGAATAAGAATATCGATATTCGATAACAATATTGATTCTTTCTGGAGTTTGCTTTTACAGAATTTCCTTTTCACTTCAAGAAGTGAAGATGCTGACATGAGGCTTATTGATTTTGGTCTTTCCGACTTCATCCGACCAGGTAATAATTGGAGTGATTCTCAATTTTCTTTTTCCATTTCCTTGCAAAAGCAGACTCTTATGAATATATTTAAAGTATTAAATAGACAGTTGGCTACTATAAATGTACACTTCATTGGTGCTGTTTACCGTTGCATAGTGCTCTTAAGTGACATCTTGTTGATTGTTGGAGCTATGGGGGATTTCTGTGTTAATTTGTTTAACCATGTTATTTTATCTACTGTCTTGAAAATACAAGAGATTTTATATCTCATCATTTTCAGTGTCATTTGGCTGGGTTCTAATTTTCAGCCATTCACAACTCCAATACATTTTAAAACCAACAGTAAAGATCGAAGAAATCATCTTGGTATTTATGAATACTTCACAGATATTATGTAAAAGGAAACTCTGAATTGTATATGGCACTAGATATTGCATTTCTGTCTCAGTAGTCTGTCCCATGTACTCATAACCCAAGACTGCTAGTCTGCTACCCTCGTTCACCCTTTAGTTGGATATTTGTGGATATAAGGTCACCCCCCTTAATTTTTTCCTTCATGTGTGTTGATATACAGATGAACGGTTGAATGACATTGTTGGGAGTGCCTATTACGTGGCACCTGAGGTCCTTCACAGGTCGTATAGTCTGGAAGCAGATATCTGGAGTATTGGTGTTATTACCTATATCTTGCTATGCGGAAGTCGACCTTTCTGGGCACGAACAGAATCTGGAATTTTTCGTGCAGTGCTTAGAGCTGACCCTAACTTCGATGATTTGCCGTGGCCTACTGCCTCTGCAGAGGCCAAGGACTTCGTAAAACGACTCCTAAACAAGGACTACAGGAAAAGAATGACAGCTGTCCAAGCTCTAAGTAAGTCTGCATATCCATAACTCTTTCGATGCTTTCCATTTTTAAGCTGCATGAGATATTTATCAGTGTTACTTACCTCATCAAAGAATTACATCTGGGCATAAGTATCGAAATTGAACACTTACATCCATTTTGTTGATTATTGAATTTCACACCTGACCATTCTGCCTCAGTAGGAGGATATAAGATGTCCTGTATAGTAAAATGTATTTACGTTATGGTACCGACAATGCTTTTTTTAAATTGAATATATGAAACTAATTATTGTGTACTTCTGTAAATGCAGCTCATCCTTGGTTGAGGGATGACAGCCGCCCGATCCCTTTAGATATCTTAGTTTATAAACTAGTGAAGGCTTATCTTCATGCAACTCCATTCAAACGTGCAGCAGTGAAGGTATTATTTAATTCATTTCCTTGTATATGCTTATACTGAGTTTGACTTTCAAAATCCTTAAGTTTATTTGGATAAACTTTTCCATAAACAGTTATAGGAGAAGAAAAGAAAATCAAATAAGTTTCTCCAAAAAGTTGTAGTTCTCTCATATTAGCTCCTCTAAAACCTATTTTTAACTTGTGAAGAAATTAATTTTTGTTTATGAAAAAACTTATTTTATTTTTTATTTTTATTTTCTTCTTTTTGAAGTGTTTATGGAGAAGTCTATTTAAATATGCCCTTAATCTTGTTAATATTTACTACTATCTCTCACACATGTCTCTGCCAAATATATGCATTTTTATGCCATATTTTTTTCTCTAGTTTTACTTTGCAATTCTTCATCCTTCCCTCAACTGATATCAAGTGCATTTTCCTTCATAATGATATTTTCCCCACTGACTATGAAAAGATTCATCATGGTGTTTTGGTGTATGATATGACTTGTGAGCCAACTTAATGCTTATTATTTAAAAAAAGAATGAAAAAAGAAAATGCGTGCTGTTTAAGGTCTATTATAAATTGTGGTGTTGGTAAATCTAATGCTTTTTGGGAAATTAAAGATGTGTTCCTATTTTTTCAACAATCAACATAAAGTATCATCAATGTAAGCAATGTTTACTTGTTTAACATGTTTTTTTTATTTTTATTTATTTTTTTTACGAGTTTTGGAATTAGTTTGTTGTCTATTGAATATTGTTGTTTGTGCTAGATTTTGACTGATCTTTATGGCTTCTGTTTCGTAGGCCCTTTCAAAAGCCTTGCCAGAGGATGAATTGCCCTACCTTAGGGCACAATTCAGATTGTTGGAACCAAATAGAGACGGGCACATCTCCCTTGATAATTTCAAAATGGTTTTCTACTGTCGCTAATAAAATCCTTCAGTATTTATTTATATGTACTATGTAGCTGATATAGAAAACTGTAGTTTTCACATTCACTACTTGTTTTTTGTTGCAGGCTCTTGTACGCCATGCAACTGATGCCATGAGGGAGTCAAGGGTTCTTGATATTGTAAATGCGGTGAGGCATTATTCTTATGTATTGAGAAATTTTCTTTGGCATGTTGGATCCTGACATGCCAGTATATTTTCCAGATAATTTCCTGGCTATGCATTTTCCAAACTTGATTCAAGTGGCAGGATTCTTGCTAACATTTCAGGAAATTTTCTGTTGAAAATATACATGGCACATTAGAGTGATGATTACTACTGCATTCGCTTCATTGTTTTAAGTTCCTACATCATACGTGTACTGTTTTGAAAATTTGACCTTAGTTCTGGGTGTAAGTGCATAGTTATGTCTAAGTGCAAACTCGTTTTACATGAGAAATGTTTGTGGATCTGGTGGTATGTTTCTGCATTAAAATTATTTTGTATCAAGTACATGTATCGGAGGAAAATAGTTAGAATATTCCTTATTAAACTTGACCAATTCTCCTCCTTTGAGCTAACTTTTGGGTATGGTATCAAGTCTATATAATCTTGATGTTGGACCACTTTCCCTCCTTGTTAGATTTTGTGTTTGAGTTACGTTTGTTTTTCTAGCAAGTGCTGAAGTTCATACTATTTCCTCTTCTTGACCAAATATCTTATGTTTTCTTGCTTGAATGATTGGTATAGATGGAGCCACTTGCCTACAGAAAGATGGACTTTGAAGAATTTTGTGCAGCTGCAATTAGCACATATCAATTGGAGGCACATGATAGGTGGGAAGATATTGCATCAACTGCTTTTGAACATTTTGAGAGTGAAGGAAATCGACCGATAGCGGTTGAAGAATTAGCCAGAGTAATTGCTTCTTTTTTCCCTAACACAATCAATTCTACCATAATATATGACTTGATATATACTTTTGTTATTATGCTTATCTTTGGTTTTCAACCTTCTTTCTTTTCTTCATGGCCACAGGAGTTGAATCTTGGGCCTTCATCTTATTCAGTTCTCAAAGATTGGATCCGAAATACTGATGGAAAGCTTAGTTTACTTGGATATACAAAATTTTTGCATGGTGTGACTCTCCGTAGTTCAAACCCAAGAAACCGGTAGTCTTGGGCCCTTTAACATATAGTTTCAAGATTCGGGGGAAAAAACAGAAGAAAAAAAAACATAGAGATTTAGAGATTTTTTGTGGAATTATTTTGGTTTCATTTTTCTTTCATGGTGGGGGAAAGAAAATTATGTGTACATGAATGTGTTAGCGAGTGAGTACAGGGAATGTGGAGTCGATTATATGCCAAATTGAGCCTTCGCAAATGATATGTTCCTATGGGTCTGGATCCCATAAATATTCATTAATTTGTGAATGTTTTAAAAGATTACATATAGTCAAAATTAAAGCAGTTTGAATCCAAATTAGCCGTTTACTGTCGTCAATGATATATTTGTTTTTTTTTTTCTTCCACAAGAGTATTTTTAGGGTTTTAGCTCTTTTTAATTTATAATTTATTTTTAAATTAAATTATTTTTTAAAATAATTTTGTAATAGAATATATATTATTTATCATAAATTTAAAATATAATTTAAATGCAAAAATACCTTTTTTTTAAAAAAAATTAAATTATAATATAATTTATATATTTGAAAATATTTATTATAAATTTTAGTTAATACAAAATAAATTTTGTCCTTTGCTAAATTACTAGTCAAGTTTATTAATTCTACATTGCGTAAGATTATTTGCTTGTGGGCTCAATAAGAATATCTTCAATACTTCATTTTCACAATGGTACGGTAGACATAATTAAATTTGAATATGTGGGCACTCATTTGATCTTGACTTTAAACTATATTTTTACATTTTAACCTTTTACATATATTTAAATGCAGTTTATAATATAGATTTACATTTTAGTTTTCCATAATTATTAAAAGTATAAATTAATTATTATAATAGTCTAATAATTTAAATTACACTAATATTTGAATAATAAAATTACAATTGCACGATTTATTAAAAATAGTTATTAAATTTCTCTTTATTATGATTTATGTTGTTTAATTATTTTTATATTATTTTAATTTCAATGTAATTAATAAAGTAGTAGTGTTTTTAATTATATATAAATAAATTATTATTTTTTAGAAAAGGTAAGGGTGGTGGGTTATCCACTTTTCTTTTCTCTAATGAGATTGAGTTTTAATTGTTTAAACTCAAGATTGTCCGTCCTCACATGTCCTATTAGGCTATTAGCATCCTCAACAAAAAAAATTATGTATAATTTCTTACGAGCATACGATATTGTTCTTTAATTTGAGTTGAAATTTTTTTCATACTTACATTTAATACATATCTCATTAATATATATATATATATATATATATATATATATATATATATATATATTTATATATAATATTAAAGTAAAATTTTAATTCTGATCGAAGAATAATAACTAAAAGATTATATATAAATTTTATCAAAATTGGACAAAACTTACATATTATAATATATTATCTTCAATATCAATAATGTCAAAGATTTAGTTATGTTACCCATCTTTTAGATGATGCATTTATCATGTGTACGAAATATATGTTAAGTGTACCATCTAAAAAAGATGGATAGAAAAGCAAAATCCATAATGTGGTGTCTGTGTTACGAAACAAGGATGTAAACAGATCCTGTGCTACCATTTTCTAAGCTTGTTAAAACATTTGGAGCACTGAACCCAATTGCAATAAAGTGAACCAAACACAGCAACTTGAACTTATGGTGGCTGCTTTTGTTTGTTATAGTGATTGAAAATTCTGCTTGAGAAAGTCATGTCTGCTTCAACTGCAGCCTCCATCACAGCAAAAAGAAGATAACTTCCTTTCTTTTATCTTATGCCATTTTCATGCTGGTCCCATTCGCCTCACCTAAGATCCTATTAACTTTTCCAGAACCATTATATACGCCAAAACACAAACAAGAAAAATAAGTAACAAAGTTGTGTCCAATTTGACCAATAAAAAGCATGCTACACTTGGATTATTATGTGCTAATATTAATAATAACTCATCAGTTTCAGTCAGGTCACTGAAGCACTCATCTTTTTCCTGATATGGAAGGAAAATTTTAAGATCATGTTTTGACCTCTAGCATTTCAATTTGGATAAGTGTCGAGTCACGTTTCTTGCAAAAACATTGGGTTGGAGAATCTGAACATTTTTGGATAGATTAACTTTGAAATTCAATTTTGTGGAATGAAATTTAGGATAAAGCTTGCTCCATATCTTAGTACTGTTTTATGATAAAAATTGAAGCTCTAACTAATAAACGTTGACATTTGATAAAAGAGTTAATTACCTATATACTGTCAATGTAAGGTTTTTTTACACTGACAATCAATTATATCTTTTAATTGTGCTATGTCACTGTTAAAAGTAAATATATTTACAGTGACATGGTATAATTAAAAGATATAATTTGTTGCTAATATAAAAAAAACTTTACACTGACAATGTATAAGTGTTTAACTCTTGATAAAAATTGAAACTTTAACTTTCTCGGAAAATAGCATTTGTAATGTACCAGTAAGTTTTATCTTAGAATTTATTAGTCAATTTTCTTTTTTTAACATTTTGGTCGAGCATAAGTAATTTTAAATATGAGACTCGCTAAATGTTTATTTTATTAAAACAAATTTATTTTATCATCTGAATACAATTATTTTGAATAGGTCATACTTAAATGCAAATTAGTTTATAACATTTATATATTTTACTAAAATGTAAAGCATTGCATGCAAACGTTGGCTGCTTTCCTTTCAGTGACGGCATCCAAGAATATAAAACAATTTACAGTCTGTCAGAGTCCTATGAAATAAAATTGTTAAAAAATAGAAAAACAAACAAATAAATTGACCAATAGTAACCCCTATTGGCTCAAATTGATATTTATAAATGTGATTTGAGTTTATGGGCTTACTTTTTTTTCTAAAGAAGCTTATCCTTTTGCTTTTAAGGGGGGTGGAGGGGTGGTTTTCATTAGATGTGCAGGTGCAACCTCTGGAGTAGGTAAAGAGAAATAAAATTGAACAGTGTGAGGTCAACATCGCATCAATGTTAATTCAAGCCTAAGCTCATTGGCTCAAATTATTTGATAATAAGGGGGTTTGACTTCTTATAAATCAAGAGTATAATTTAATGGATATATTGTAGTTATAAATATAAAATTGTAAAATTTATTATTAAAAGTGTGGTAAAAACATATTATTTTAAAAATTATCATGTGTTATTGGATTAAAAAATATCGAGTGTTAACATCATTTCCAATTTCCATTAGTATATGTTTTATTATATATATTAAATAAAATGTCCAGAGTAGGACACGTATTAATGGTTGTTGCAAATTTTTTTTTTGTTTATTTTTATTTTTACATACAATCTCCCCAATTTGCAACCAGAATACGAAATTTGTTTGTATAAAGAGAAACTACTTTCAGTATGATAGTCGGAAGATTATCGTCGTTATAACTTCTTTTTATTAATAAAAAAACTAATATTTAGAGAGGAAAAAAGGTAAGGGAGAGGAAGGGTATTAGTTCTATTTGTTTAACTTTTTAATAAAATAAATAGTTTTTTTTAATGTGTTTATTTAAACGACTTATTTTTAAGATAATAATAATAATTATTATTATTTATTTTTTAAAAGCAAGTTTTGTTTGTTTCTTAATTAAAGAACAATTTCTTGAAAAAAAATTTTTATAATAACCTTTTTTAAGTTTATATAAACGGGACCAATACTTATTTTTTCAAAAAGTTATAAATCATTTTAGTATACATGTAATGATCGATGCAATTATGGCAGTGCACGGATCAAAGTGTTAATTACATAAACATTTAATTTATTTTAAAGAAATTATTAATGTAATATCTCATACAATTATATACATTTGTAATGTCCACAACTCCACATTAATATTTTAATTTTTATTAGACAAATATCATACTAATATAGGATAATTTGACATGAAAATGTTAGTATATGTCAATTATTTGTATTTTTTTTATAATAAAAATGGTAGATAAAAAATGACATTCTTAAAATTATTGTATATAAAATTAAAATGTTAGAAATCTTCAGAATAAGTATTACTATCTATTTTAATTTACGATTTTATTTGCTAAACTAAATTATTTGTGTGTGAGTGATAGTGATATATTTAAATTATTACTTTTAAAAATTTACCTCATTTATTAAAATTTATCCTTCACTTCAAATGAGTCGAATTGTTAAACAAGTATGAAATTTAGTGCCTTGCGACACTAAATTTCATTTTATACTTGAATACAAGCCTCATTGGTAATAATTTCCAATTTGTGAAATTTTATGGACAAAAGAATGTAATTATATTTTTGTTAAAATAACTTTTTTAATTCATATAATTTTACTTATTTTATCTTTTAGTCCGTATAATTTTTAAAATGAATTTTTTAAAGTTTTTATGTTTATCTTTTTCAATATTTTTTAATGTATGTAATTTATAATAGATTTTTTCCTCTATATTTATAATTTTTAATTATTTTAATCCTTATCATTAAATTTTTTTATCGGTGTCTATTTTGTATTAACACGATAAAAAATTTTAATTTTGTGAAAATAAAAAAATAGTATCTCAACAATAAACATCATAGATAAAGATATAAAAGAAACATGAAATATTAAGACTTAATTTAGAGTAATTTCAACCAGATAAATTTGACATTAGATACAAAATTAAATTAATATATATGTTATGTCAATACAAAAAAGATAATATTATAAAATAATAATAATAATAGTGGCTAAAATAATTAAAAAACTGTAAGTACAATGACTAAAAAGATTTATATTAAATTATAAAATTAAAAAAGATTGAAAAAAATAAATATATAAATTGACAATATCTATTTAAAATCATGTAGACAAAAAAAAAAAAAAAATTTTTGAAGTTGTTGATTGTAGTTATGTAGTTCCAGTGTTCTAGAAAGAGCGTGACCTATATGCATTAAAAGGACATACAATAAGGACGTCAGAATTACTGTTTTTACTATATACTATATATTATACACTAGATTAGATTAATTGTAGGTAAAATGGCATCTTATGTGGTCCATGCTTTATCCAAATTAACATGAGACTGCCGAAAAATAATATATAAACAAACATAAAGTTGTTGTCCTAAAATTACTAAGAGCATTCAAAAGAGAGAAAATATCTCGGCTAGCTGCTTCGTTTCAGTGATTCTTGTTTGCATTTTCTCCTACTACTATGCCTAATTAACATTAATTCTTCCATCTTTATTTCTTGTCTATGTAAAGTACTGACAACTGTTTTGAACAAACTTTTTTTTTTTTTGTGGATATCCACTTTCTTTATAAATAAAATTTCTTTGTTTA